ACTCCACTCGACTAAGGCACGCAGTTTTGTCAATAACATGGCCAGAAAACCATCTTCAAAGACACCAAACAACTCTGAAGACCCAACATCTGTCTGCTGCTAAAAAAAGGAAAAAAAAAAAAAAAAGAATCGCTGTACAGCATGGCACCCCGAGGCAGCATGGTGACTGGGTTCCTTATGCTGACCATGGTGAGTTGGCTTGACACACTGACATAAATTTGTGATTATTTTGGGATACCTGTTGATTCATCTGCAGTCTCTCTGGCTGTTTAGTGATTCATCTGGATTTCTGGATTTAATACCTATTTACTTTTTATGAATTGTTCTGTGTGTGTGTGTGTTTGCGCGCATTCTCATTCTCTCTCTCTCTTTGCATGTAAGTACATGTCTATATATATATATATATATATATATATATATATATATATATATATATATATATATATATAATATATATATATATATATATATATATATATATATATATATATATATATTATATTATTTATATTGTACATACATACATGTGTATATTGATTTATTTATCTACTTGTTCACACACACACTGTGTGTGTGTGTGTGTGTGTAAATGAAAACGAGTACTTTCTTTAGTGTACTGTACTGTATCACTTTCGCTTGAGGGATTTATTGCTCTCACTGTATTTATGGCACGAATACAGTCTCAGTGCACTATAAACCTTCCCGTAGCGGAGGCAGTAAAGACCATTCTGTGCGAAGGTGGAAATGAAGAAAAAGTAGATACAGGAAGAGGGAACTGGATGTAGGAGTTGGCAGACGAGAGAGAAAATGAGGGAGGGAGAAAATGAGAAAAAAACTGAGGGGGTATCGGGATATATATATATATATATATATATATATATATATATATATATATAGGTGGAAGGAGAAGTTGAGAAAGGGAAATGTGGGGAGGAGGAGGAGGAGTTGAAAGATAGAAAACGGACGATCGTGGGAAGGGGTGGGGGGGGGGGAGTAAGAAGGCCGGATGTATGGGAAACTGACAGGAGGCAGATAGTTAGATATATAGTGAATGAGGGAGAGAGAGGGGGGGGGGATAGGGAGATAGATAGATAGGAAAGGAGAATGAGATGACATGAATCTGTAAGATAGGTTGAGGAGGATGGGTAGGACGGAGAGAAACGATAAATAAAAGGGAAGGAGGTAGACAAAAATAAATGGGTGGAGGGGGAAGATGAAAAAAAAATCTACTCAGAAACTCTTACAGATATAAAGTAGTGTCATATAAAATAGTGAACTCGTTTTCCTTTTCGAAGTTATAAAGCCAGTCGTATTGCCCAATAAACACTTTGATTAACTACCTACTTTCTATACAGGTCTGCTGTTGCCTGGGAACTGACTCGCCGAAGCCCGTGGGGGAGCGGGGAGTGTCAGGTGCGATACTGGGGTCAGCAAACAGCACTCAGGAACGCCTTTCCATTGCTGACACTCGAGATGACACGGACGATTGGCATGAGCGAGTCCTTGGCGACGGCTCAACGAAGAAGTTTGATGTTGACGATAAAAGATTGGAAAGTATATTCCAAGAGACTAAAACAGCATTTGAGAATAAGAAAGGAAAAGAGGGCAGATCGTATGAAGAAAATGGAGATTCTTTGGTCAGAAGAAAAAGAGAAACGAGCAAAGAAGAGGAAGGAGAAGGAGGTGAGGTAATTAGTAACGAAGAGGGACCGGAGGAACTGCCAACGCCTGAGAGCCTCGCCTGGGTCGATCCGGCCACACTAGCGAACCAAGGGTATTCTGTCGAGAACGTTCCCTCGCTGGCTAATCTCATGGGCCTGAGGGTGGTCAAGTACAGGAACCACCAGCCTATTCCCTCCCGTCTTGGCACCTCACCGTCAGCCTATACTCCTGTCAGATATAGGCCTAGACCATCTGTTCAATATTCGAAGTTCAATAGGCCTGTGGGCTCCGATCTGGGTTACAAGAGAACGGACTCCAAGTCGCTCACTTATGACAACAACCTTTTTGGAGACTCGTTCCACAATTCTTTCCACTCCTATTACAAGGAAGAGAACGATACATTACCTTATAGTAACAGCCACGGCCCACCGCAAGGGATAAACAGCTGGCGAAGGTCTCACCCCTCTAGCAGTGAATCCCGATACCCCTCTAGCAGCCCCACCAACGGGAGGCCGAGTCAACCTCCTTTCCCGTCCGGCGGCGCTGGCGGCGGCCTTCTGGACATGCTGGATCCTCTGAATCTCTTCAAGGGGAGCCAGGGTCCTGTCCCGCCCCGGCACTCGAATCCCGTCCCCCCGCCTGGCTACGACCCCCGGCGACCCAGGCCCCAGCCACGGCCGCCTCCCTCGAACTCCCGCTCGGAGACAGGCTCCTCGCCGGGCGTGAAATATGAGGTGGTTGTTGACAAGGACCAGGGGAATCGCGGATACCAATTCCGCGAGGACTCTCCGCTGCGGGATGACTTGTACATCGGGATGGACGGTAACATTTATATCAAAGATAACTCCGTCAACGATGCAGATGGGTCTTATGGTGACGACCCGTTCGAGGAGAACAGCAGACCACGACACACGTCCGGGCACCAGAGACCGTATCGGCCGCGGTCGCGACCAGATCGGGTTCGACCGAAATTTCCCCGGAAACAGATCGAAGACGAAGATACCTTTGATGAAAATGAGTATCGCGAACTCCTCAAAAACCACAACTTGGACGATTATTCTTCACGAGAACCTCCAGCCTCGATCCAGAATTTTCTTCCTGAAAATAATCCAAACTACAAGTCAAATTCTCAGCAGAACCCTCGAGGACAGCAGACTGGCCGATACCCAAACTACGACCGTCGACCCTCCAGGCAAAACCGCTACCCAGACACACGATACTTCGACTGGTTTACCCCGGTGCGCGGTCGAATCAACTACCCATCGTTCTTCACGGACCCTCGACAGGTGAGGCTTCCGGGATTTCGCTACCCGCCTAGACATCGACGCTTGCCCGTCCCCCCGCGCGCCGGGACTCCTGTCATCCCCCCAAACGTCCGTCACTCGCGACCCACTCAGCGCCCGGATTTAACCCAGCGACGTCCTTCGTTCCCCAACTCTCCTCCTTCTCATCCTCGCTCCTCCTTCCCTAAGTCTCCTGCTCGCCCTTCCTTCTCGAATCCCTCTCCTCCTCGTACGCGCCCTTCCTTCCCCATTACCTCTCCCCCTAGATCCAACCCGGCACAATCGCGACCGAACTTCCCCTTTGACAGACCCCAGAGCGACCCAGCGAGTAACCACAACACTCGTCTCCGGGGGTCTACGCTGTCTGGTGACTCCCGTGGGAAACCTGGGGGAACAAAGGGCTTCTACCCCGGAAATGGCTTCTTTGACGCTGATTTCCCCACTTTATTCCACATGGTGCCGTCCAATCGACACAGAGTTTACGAACCACTGCCCAGGCCTTTGGCACTAAATACGACAACAATTGAGGAAGAGTGAATAGTCCATTGATCAAAGGCGCCTAATTTCGTTTAGATTTTAGAAATTAAATGTTTGTTGTGGTATGTGATTGTATGTAAAAAGAAGATAAAAACGAAGGACAGTTACGAATAATACAACAGACGTTTATTGCGTGTGAGTGCTAACTTCACTGACAGTGCAGAAGTTTCTAGACGGCATTTGTTGTTGAGAGTACAATAAACAGTGAAATCCATAAACAGAAAACAATCAATGTCCGAAGCAAATGCTGTATCATACATACACACGTGTTTAGCTAAAAATAATATTCATGTGGCATTATTTATGGTAAAACGATACTAAAATGAATATAGGCCTAGGTGTTTCTAAGAAATAGTTTCTACAGGTATTTCATAAGTTCATTGCTGTGACAACATTGTGATATATGAAGTATGATTCTGAAATTGTAGACAGTGGTACTTTTTGTACATATTACATATTACACGTATTGGTACATATTCCAAGTATCAAACTGAAATTAAATGATCTATCATTTTTAGTGATTGCATTTAATGAGAGTAAGTTTGAAACGTATTTTGCAATTTGCGGCACGTTGGTTGTCGCGGAATTTGCTATCTTTATGATTAAACATAACAAAACCACTACCAGAATCCCATTAACCTTAAAATGTACAACCATTTACCATACATAATAAAAAAAAAACAGTAATGAACTGGATAATTTATAAGGATAACTCTCAATTAATTTTCCTTATATATGTAAATAAATATTATACATTTCTGTGATTTGTAATAAACATGTGGTATCAATAAAATAAATTTCTATGATAAACTATTATGTTAATACCTTGTAAAATGAAGATTCTCAGTAAAGGCTCATATCCTTAGTTAGTGTATTAAGTACAATTTTATCTCTCAACCTCATTTTTTAAATAAATCTACTAGATTCCTTTATGTGTGAGAGAGAGAGAGAGAGAGAGAGAGAGAGAGAGAGAGAGAGAGAGAGAGAGAGAGAGAGAGAGAGAGAGAGAGAGAGAGAGAGAGAGAGAGAGAGAGAGAAATAAACTGAGTGTAGCCAACAGAATCTAAAACTGTCAAAAGGCATTCAAACTACAGTGGCCTTTGATGCATGGCCATCTAAATTCTTTCCATAATCATCAATAGCACACACACACACACACACACATATATATATATATATATATATATATATATATATATATATATATATATATATATATAATCATAATTATCCATCTATCTATATATCTATATATGGAACTTAACTTATCAATCACGGGTACTTTAATCCTACCCAGTGTGGAAAAAATGTGTATTAAAACAATTATAACACTTCATTACTATTTATTACATGGTCATACCCTATGAAGATGTACAAATGTACAAAAAATTATTATATTCCTGACTGGAATTTCATAGCACTCTTATCATCAATATTCCAGCAACCTGAGAAGTGCAACTGCAAGTATTTTGTTTGTATTCTTGAAAATATCACACACACACACACACACACACACATGCATGCACACACACATACATGCATGCACACACACAACACACACACACACACACACACACACACACACACACACACACACACACACACACACAATTCCAATGAAGTATTTTCAAAATCTTTTCATACTTCGTTGGTCTTGTTCTCAAGGATACTGCGAACATACTTCTCCACTTCATTACGCTTCCCTAACCTTGTGACCTTTCCTGTGAAGCGAGTCTTGCCTCCTCCTCGGCCTTCTAAGATTTCGCATGCCCTAGAAATATGAAATATATTTTTAACATTTCAATAAAAACCTCAAATTAAAACAAAGAATACATCAATATGACAAACAAACAATAATCTGACCACAGAAGATAAGGCATGCATAATAAAATTATATGCTATAAGCCCTTACTTCGGTCCAATCTCAGACACCAGGTTCTGTGGTCCGTGTACTACAAGGCAGCCTGGGCCTTTGTCTTCACCTACTGTTAAGACTTTCAATACATTCTGTGGGGAAATAAATGTGAAAAGTTTGTTTCAGAAAGAGTTTAAAACTGAAAAGACGGCTGTATAAAAAAAAAATATATATGTATATATTTTCATCAATGAAAAAAAAAAAAAAATGTAGAGACAGAGAGGTATCGAGAGAGAAAATGAATCACCAATGCACCACAAGATACATACATCATCATTGATTTCATTAATAATGGCACTCAAGTAGTCCATATCTCCATCGCGACGGTGATGGAAATAAACTGAAGGTCGTGGATCCAGCACAGTAAATTTCTGCCCCTCTGAGATTGCTAAGTCTTTCATGGCCTCTCGTAAGGAACGTAGACTAGCTGTGACATAGAAAATGAAAACCAATGATAGTGATGATATGTATGATAAAATTATAGTAATAAAAATAAAATCATCAATGTCAAACAAAATCATTAACATTATCAAATTAAAAGGTCTCACATTTAAGGTCATTTTGGATCTTTTCAACAAGACGCGTATGATCGGCAGGACAGGAGTGAAGTATGGTGTTCAGCTGTCGTTCACGTTCTACACATTCACCAAGATATCTGAAATTGGAAAATGTAAGGGATGAATTATCAATTGGAATGTTAATATAGTATAAATGTTATCTTTGCATAATGTCACACATCTGCAAATGACTTTTATTGGAGATAATTCTTAGTTCTATGAATGAGTCTAGCAGTTAGTAAAAGTCATTACTAATCCCCAAAATTTTACCTGAATTTATTATCTTTCTTTCCTTTTCTTTATTTGAGAACTTAAGAAACCATTTCACAAAAAATGTCATAAAAGGATATGTACTTGGATACTCATCTGCTTCATATAATTATCCTTAATCAACCTTTCAATAAATCTATTTTTGAAAATTGACCTTTCATATTCAGGATATTATAAAATTATTTAAAACTGAACATCATATGTTACACTGACTGAAAGATAAGGATTTGGTTAGCTAACAAGACAAGAGGACAAAATTGTGAAATTACTGTGCTGCACATATTGTACATATGGTGCAAAGGAAACAGCTCATTGCATTGGCATACAGCTCAATTCTGAGATGTTTCCTTGTATAAGATGAAGATAATAAAGATGATAAAGATGACAACAGTAATAATGAGGCTGCACCAATTATATTTGTTGTTTCTTGGATAAAAAAAAAAAAAAAAAAAAAAAAAAAAAATTGCAAAGAGTGAAGATACTGGGCTAAGAGAATATAAAGAATAACATGATTATTAATTTTTCAGCATTTCACGGCACGTTTTATGTAATGAATCCAGTCCTTTGATCTATTACTACAATTCTGAATAAAGAACATCGTTTTTAACTGAATTTACATGTGTTGCAATTACTAATATTATTGTAATTTTTGTTTTGTATGATGTCAATCCAAAGTGTAATAAGCCAGTAACAAAAAAACACACAACCCATACTCAAAAACCAAAAACCTCTCCAACAAAAGTTTACTGTGTTGGGTCCCTTTCCACTGGCATTGTGTTGTCTTCTTTGGCATGCAAACTTTCATCTTTACAAAGAAAATAACTATCTACTCCTTACTGATTGTCCTCTAGCATGTGACTACAAAGAAGCTCTCTGACTGGTTTCTGGCAGCATATGCCTCTGATAGTGGCAATATTTACAGGTTTGTGAAAGCTAAACCTGTAATGGTTTCTGATCCACTTTTTTTTTTTTTTTTTTTTTTTAATGCACAAAATTGAAGTGGCAAATCAGAGAAACAACAAGTAAAATTGGTGTGGTCTATGAATAATAAAATAAAACCATAAAAGTAAAGTTTGCTGTTTTGAAACAACTCCTATTTCTTTAATTTCCCCATGTGGTGTCTACCTAAAAATAAGTTATCTTCCTCTGCACAGATACATACACAACACAAGTTCATGTCTATGGCATTTGTGATAAATCAAACCAAGTTCTATCTTGCCAGTTCATATGTTGTGGATCTTTTGATCTTCGTCAGAATGCCAAAGACACATATGCCTTCGCCATCAATTTACTCTCCTTTTAGTATTTCCTAACTTACTAACCGTTTTGTTTTGCTCTGTAACTACTAGGTCCTATGTAATTGAAGAAAAATGCATTGTATTACATGTATCTCCAAAACTAATAAAAAAAAAAAGCTCTATGAAATCCTTCATGAATGTAATGCTTAACCCTAGGGATTCAATAAAAGTAAAGGTCATGCCAACAACACCATTGAATAAACTATTACTGTACTGTCATTAGAGCCTATTGCCTTAAAATGAAGTCTCAGCATTTCAACATCTTAAATAAATACACAAAATACCTCCGGATGGAATGTATGTCATGCCCTACTGGGAATAGCAATCTCATTCGACATGCATATGTAATGCCTAATTATTCCAGACTGCTCACAGTTTATAGCCCTTTTATAAGACATTGTCTGCACTACTAGCAATATGTGTCTGTGTTGAAGCCACAAGACAGAACTTACATATGTGGCATGAGAGCAAACATGCTGGTTGCCTGTACATGGCTTAGCACAGTGTCTATGAGTGGCTTAAGAGCATAGACCTTGTGGCTTTTAGTCAGCCTTAAGAAATCAAGTTAATATGAGCAATAACGACAAAGATTTAACACTCTACAAAAACATTTTTATGTTATTTACGACACAAGGACACCCTAAAATCCCTAGTGTATAATCAAAATCACAGCTGCCTCATACTACAGCAAATTCAGTGCAATGCAAGATTTATATTAAAACTGTACAACCTTGAAATGAATGACAAGCCCTCCTAATATCGCTTATCCTTTTTTACATGAAAAGAACATTACTCTGCTTTTCTCTGGCTAACAGGCTAAAGATATTTTGTCTACTACCAAAAATATTATATTGACATTTTCTGAACAAGATGTCAATCATATGCTATCTAAAAATTAAATTGACGTACCAAGTAAACAATTCAAACAGATAAAAAGGAGAAAGTAGAATATTCCTGGAAAAATCTAATATATTTAAGCTGATTTTTGTTTTGTAAAGCTTATGGTATATGAGTACATATTCAACAACATTAATCCTTAATTAATTATACTGGAATATTCACTTGCAATATTTCAGACTGTTGCCAGTCTCTCTTAATATTTTTTTTATTCTACAGTTTAATTATTTAAGGAAAATGGAATACTATACTATCTGCCTACAAAACAGGATGCCATAACTATTTACATACATACACATGCTAACTTAGCTACCCTCCAACAAACTACCCAAAATTGCAATGAAAAAATATCTTAAAATATGAATAAATGTGATATTCTTTCATTCCTTCTCACAATGATACTATATCATATAAAGTTTTCTTCACAAGTATATAATTCCTTCACTTACCTTAAAACTCTCTGACCTGCTACAAAATACAACAGTGTCTTGTTAGCTTTTCCTTTCTCTGTGTGTAGCAACTTAATAGCTTGAAGGTCTGACAAGTTTCTAACATGTGTCCCACAGCACATGTTTGCATCTACATTTTCAATAGTCACAACACGTACAGGTCCTACCACGTCCTCAGGTAGACCACGTGTACGAATCTACAAAGTGGATCAATATGTTATATAAAGACCACAGCTTCTATAATACTGTGTTTGGGGTCTCACTTGCCCTCAAGATTCAGTTAGGTTGGTGTGTATATATATACACATATCTTGTCTTTATATATACTGGTGTATATTGTAATCTCT